AAGAAGAGAAAGTAGCAACGCGACAAAAGAGGAAACGCGTTCGTACGAAGGAGCAGCGACGAGCGACGAACTAATAAACATTACTTCTGTATCGACGTTTCATTCTCTGTGATCAGAAAGGTATTCAATTCTCCTATACGATTATGTCCGACTGATAGACGAGACACAAGCGAAACAAGGATGTCGATCGATCGTTTAAGATGTATATAATAAAACGGGAGCTCCGAGAATAACAAATGATAAAATGGCGAATTAGCATTGTGCAAAGAGAGTTAGGTTAACGACGTTGTCGTAATCCTTTCGTTTTGTGCGCAGGAAAAATCCTTGTGGTTGGAAATACTTTTCCAGTCATTAGAAGTCATTAGAAAAATGGAATTGGAATTTTTTTTACATAACACAAGTCCGTTTTTTACATGCAAAATGTCAGATTTAGATAAACATGTACTATAAAGTCCAATTTTTCTTAAATCACACGTCACTATGCTGGAAATTGTTCTTTGAAATCTTGGAGAATTAACAAATCACATTTGAAAAATTCGGCCACTTGACCAATGCAATTGTTCAATTCTTTCTTCATCCAAAATCTGAGCAATTTATAGCATTAGTCTTTATAACATTAGGTCCACAACTTGTTCAATACATTTAAGTCTGACGATTAAAGCCTAAAGACTGCGCAAAAACAGTTTAAAGACAGAGATTATTTTTAATTAATCTCTTTTGACTTATGACTTAAGGCTTCTTAAAGCAAAGTTGTGAATCTAGCCATATTGTCATTTACAACTTACAGCTTACGGCTTACGGCCTCTTAAAGCAAGATTATGGACTTAAGGACATGGCACATAGCTTCTATAACAGTAACAAGTACTGTAATAATCAGTCAATCACAGTCAAGAATTTTTTTGAACTCTTGACTGATTCTTCCGGTACGTCTTATTGTTACTGTTATGGAAGTTGCCATGGCCTTTAGTCTTATGGATACAAGGCTTATGGCTACGTTTACACCGTGTACTTAGTCCGCGACCTATATGATAGGTATTTTTGTTTAACTTACAAGATAAACAAGGACACCTATTGTATAGACCGCGGTCTAAATGCATGGTGTAAACGTAGCCTATGATAAACTGCTTTTCTTTTAGAAAGCACAGTCCACTCAAATGTCATTTTTTGTTATTTATTGAATGCTAATAGAATATAATGATTGTATCAACTGTGTCTCCTAAAAGGAAAACAGCCAATGCTAATAGTTTACCTTTTCTTTCTTGTTTTCTTTTTTTATACATAGAACTTTAAAATATTGTCAATGTACAAAATAATTTCAGGATAATCTTCCATTTGAACTTTGCTTATTTAAGTTATCATTAATTAATTTGCCAAAAACTTAAGAGAAACAAATAAGATTTGAGCATACTATTCTCAGTTTGTGAAAGAATCTTCAAAAATATTGTAGAGCCCTATTTCAAAATATTACTTTGTTTGGTTTATAACCAAATCTATTTTTGTATAGATGCCTAACATAAAGCTACAAAGCTCTGATGGTGAGGTATTCGAGGTTGATGTTGAGATAGCAAAGTGTTCAGTCACCATCAAGACTATGTTGGAAGATCTCGGTATGGATGAAGATGAGGAGGAAGTTGTACCGTTGCCAAATGTAAATTCTGCAATACTAAGAAAGGTCATCCAATGGGCTACATATCACAAGGATGACCCACCACCACCAGAAGATGATGAGAACAAAGAGAAGCGTACTGATGACATCAGCTCTTGGGATGCAGATTTTTTGAAAGTGAATATCTGCTAAATTTTATAAAATGACGTTACAATAATGTATAAAAATTTATATATATATTTATATATACATTATCTATATAAATTAATATGTTAATAATTTATAAATATTTAAGGAAGATTCGTGTCGTAATGAATAATAATGAAGGTTGTTGAAAGTATTAGATTTTTCTAATATTTTTAATTTGTGTTTGTTGCTTAGGTGGATCAAGGAACTCTCTTTGAATTGATCTTGGCAGCTAATTATCTTGATATAAAAGGTCTTTTGGATGTTACGTGCAAAACTGTTGCTAATATGATCAAAGGCAAGACACCTGAAGAGATTCGCAAAACATTCAATATCAAGAACGACTTTACAGCTTCTGAAGAGGAACAAGTGCGCAAGGAGAATGAATGGTGCGAGGAGAAATAAATAGAATCGCGATTTTTTACAGTCGCGGATAACTTTTAAATGTTAAATAATTCATTGCGTTACTAGATGTCGGACTTAACCGGAGCTCCATTACTTTAAAAAATTTTTGTGAAAATTTTTTTGAAGCCGGATAAAATCCTAATTAACTATAGGCAAAATCAAATATTGTATGAATATATATCACGTAGGTCCATTGTTATTTATTTCAATTAAATAAAGATAGAATAATTGTGAATTATTTTATGGGATATACTTACACATACTTCACTCTTAAAATTTAATAGAGTTCTAGGATGTTACCAATAATACTCAAGGATAACATATTTTGAATCTTATTTGCAAGCTTCTAGTATACGACTTCAGACAACGCTGATGATTATATAGTATAATATTATAAATTTATATTTAAGAACATATTATATTGTGTTTAATGATATTAAAAATAAACTTAAAAGTAATTATTTATACTTTTAATTATTTATTTTCTATTGCATCTTTGCATTCTTAGAAAACAAGCTAAATTTTAAATATAAATATAAAAACTTAGCCAATATTAAATTTTGCAAATCGCATTCTTTTCTTGTAACTTGCATTTACATGTAACTTGTAAAATTACAAGTCGAGAACCCATGTTCCCTAACCTTAATGTCAAAATAAATTTACAATGGACTCAATTTAAACAAATGTTTAGTATCTCCTTATTCGTATTATAAAAAAATTTTTTTACTAACAATTATTAGAGGAATACATTTTTAAAATGTAATGCTAATGGGTACATTAAATCTATACTATGAGCGAAACAAGTTAGTATATTAATACCAGCAACTATATATTTATACGTAATAATTATATAGATTTGTATTTGTAATATAAATCAACATTTATTTATAAATGTATACAGGTACATTATTTAAACGATGTATTCATCGAGTTTCTCACGTTTTTTTAATTAACTGTATTGAAAGATAAAGACACAAAATGATAGAAATAGTCCACAAGCTTTACACAATGAAAGCAATTGGCTTTATTTTGACAAACCATTTATAAAATATCATGGAAAAACGTTATATTTTGGAAAACGTTAAGATTATAAATTACAGAGACCTAAAAGCACAGCAAAAGAAATAGTTTTTAATCATTTCAAATATACATGTTCCGAATTTATTGGTATTGACTTCGATATTTTGGAGTACTATGAGCTTTCCATAATGCTTGGATAAAATACGATTATTCTTATCAAATACATTTAATTGGATCATTTATTGTTCTTGGTGTTTATTGAATGTTGAATTTATATTTTGATAGAATTCTCTCTAGTGGACATGCTTTCTTCAATATATGTACCTACAGATCCATTGACATACAGATCTATTCTTTCTTAGAATTTTTTATATATATGAATTATATATTATAAAATATTCTAAGATTTTTATAAGATGTCTTATTCTATTATATTTGAAAAAACCTTAAGTTTTTCAGATTTTATAAGTTTTTAGCAGAAATTATAGGATAAGAAATCTTAGAATATTTCAAAACATATACGAAGAATTATAAAAAAAAATATAGACTTTCTCGGTATTTCTGAAAAGTATTTCTATTTGTGTAAAGAATCTGAGAAATTTTCTAAAAAGTTATAGAATTATTCAGAATTTCTGAAAAATCTTGAAATGTATATAAAAATTCTGAAAAGTTACATGAAAAATATTCTGAGAAAAATTTTAAGAGTACATAAATGTAAATACATATTATTATTACCTCGGCTTATACTCCATCTACGTTATTTCCTTTCTACTTTGCCTAAAACTTCTAATATATCATTCTTTTTCTCAATGATTCTTTCTAATATCACTAAGTATTCCTTAGCTCTTATCCTTCCTCTCCTTTTTTCTTTTGCTTTCCTTCTCCCTATCTTTTCAAAATTTCCTTAACACTTTTCCTCGTGTTTCGTCTAGATCTTCTCCCCATAATTTCATTAATCTTCTTTATCTATTCCTAAGTCCTCAAATTTTCCTCTCACTTTTTTGTATTCTTTTATATATAGTGCTCTTATTATGTCTCGCCTTTTCAATTCTTTCTCTTTCCCATTAATTACCAAATAATATAAAAAAAACTTGGCACCGCTAGATCGCTAGCCAAGTTTGCTAGCGATGCCAAATTTTTTTACATTAAAATTTTTTTATTTTAATTAAATGCTCTTATTTTTATGTATTTTTATTTAAAAATAGTTATATAACATTAGTGTTTTCTGTTTATAATTGGCGCAATTTAAAGATTTCACATATTTTATTTGAAAAAGATTATTATTATATACTTTCATAGTTTAGAAAATATGTTTGAGATAGGTTTGGAATAGGAAGTCATTTTTTTCTTCAAGGAGTATATATACAAGCACGTATAATAATTTATGTAGATTTTTTCTGAGAGGAACACGCATCTTTGCCGCCTTTTTTAATCTCGTTTTAGAAAGGTAAATTTGTTATGATTAATAAATGTACTTCGTAACTATTTGAACTTTTGTTTTATTTGTAAAAGTACTTTTAGGTGTAAAAATGTTAAATATTATATTAAATAATCAAAATTTACGATGAAAAAATTGTACGTGGGTATTAATATTAACATAAAAAATGTCCAGGTTTTAGCTGTAAAATCCGGGGATTTGGAACTCATTGTCCTAGACTGCATTCCGTTTTACGCATGATGTGCATAATGCATCATTTATTCTTGTTAACATTCGGTGAATAACAAGGATAAAAGATGCGTGAAACGGAACGCAGCCCCTATATTAATGATTTTACAGATGGCAGCCTTACACGTGCTACTAAATGTGAGGTTATGTGACATAGATCAGCTCTTGTTACTATTGATGAAACAATTTTCTTCGTGAATACAAAAAAGGTAAGCTGTATAACATAAACAAGATATCATCTGTGTGATTTATTTATTTATATCCATCCATAATGATTGAAAAGCCTATGAGAGCCGACTCAGCCGACGCAAGTTATTGTTGCAAATAATGATTTATTATCTAATATACTCAATAAATAATATAAACGTTTCGACCCACGTACAATAATTTGTGTCCACCAACAATAACTTGCGTCGACTCTCATAGGTTTTTCGATTATTATAGATTTATATCATTAGAGCCTATACAATTTTGTGATAGTTATATCCATGCATTTATTTCACTTTCAAATGAACCTCTGTAATAATCTTACAATGCTTTTCAGAAAGCAACGTTAAAATGTCTTCGTGGAAGAAAGCTGCAAAGATGAGCCAGAAGACCCACCGGGAACGTCATCAACCGGAGGCTCGCAAACACCTGGGATTATTGGAGAAAAAGAAAGACTACATTGCCAGAGCTAGGGACTTCCAGGAAAAGCGAGCGACGATCAAACTCCTAAGAAAGCGTGCGATAAATAAGAATCCGGATGAGTTTCATTTTCATATGATTAATTCCAAAGTGGTGAATGGCGTTCATCGAGAGAAGGATAAGGAAGATCAGCACACGCCTGAACAAATCAAGCTAATGGAGACACAGGATCTCAGATATGTAGCATACAAGAGGAACATTGAGGCAAAGAAGATAGACAAGTTGCAGAGTCAGTTACATATGATTGATGCAGCCAACGAAACACAGAATCAGCATATCTTCTTCTTGGACGACGATGAGATGAAGAATTTTGACCTCGCCAAGAAATTTGATACACATCCAGCGCTTCTGTCCAGGCGCACAAATCGGCCTACTTTAAGTGCAATCAAAAATATGAAACTACCGGAATTGGATAACAAAACTATTGCTAAGCTCGAGCAAAAGAAACACATGGCTTACAAAGAACTCGAAAAGAGGATCGATAGGGAACGTGAACTGACGGTCGTGCAGCAGAAGCTTGAGGTACGCAGAGCGCTGAAAGATAAGAAAATCAGGAAACCGAAACTAGTGAAATCTGGCTCGAAGGATGCCGCTCCTATTTATAGGTGGAAGTTTGAGAGAAAACGATAACTTATTTGTGTATTATAAAAATCGATTAGTATATAATATTAGTCAATTAATTGTGAAAATCAAATAAAAATTTATACATAGCTTTCATCATTTTCGATATCAATCATAGTCACTCGTTTAACACCTATCAGTTGATAATAAAAATTCGCATGTTTTAATAAAATAATTAATAAGTTATTTCATTAAAGAATAATTTAATAATAATAACGATCTATTTATTATATTCATAATAAAAAATATTTAGATAAAAAATTAAATATAAAAAAATATGTAACAAAACATTGCTGAAAAATGTTAGTATAATATAATAATTTGGCGTTACTCATTTAGTCTACTATCTTTGCTTATCTCGGTATCTATCGTTTCTTTCTGTCGTAACTTTCATAAATTCATTCATCTTTTGTAATATTTTTAGTTCTATCTTACGTTATATTTACGTTATATCTTATTAATTATTTCTTTCAATATTCTCCGCAGTTATTTTTCTCTTTGCAACAATCACAAACAGTCACGATCGTCATTTAATCGGTATTGTTTCTTCAAAAATTTCCGATGTCTCGGTGATATCCTCCGCTTCTTCTGGCCTTCCATTTGTTTCCGTGACATCCATTTCCGACGTTTGCATAATCGTTGACTCGCTCAAAGTCGGCCGTCTACTTTCTGCCAAGGATGTTTCTTCGATTGTCATGTCCGTCATTCTCATTGTGTCGTCACTGTCGTCAGTTGACATCATTGGCAATTTTATTGATATGCAGTCGTAATTAATCTGCCAAAGTCGTTTCTTGGCGTAAATGTCGAGGCGTGGGCAAGCCGTTATAGATCTATATGGAAATATGTTTTTATAGAAATTGTAGATTGAAAACGAATATTTAGAATTAAGCTATTAGCTTCAACTGAGTGAAAATAATTGCACGATAAGAATCCTAATTAAATTAACTCAAGATAAATTTCGGATTTCATTGGCAAATTTCTTAAATATTTCTAGGTAAAATAATTATCTCGACACATACGTAGCAGATTGGTTGAGTTCTAAAACGTTGACACATGCAGTCGAGAAAAGACAACCGGGAACAAACACGCAAAACTGGAACGCCTGAAAATCTACAAAATAAGTCTGTAGAAACAAAATGCATAGAAATGTAACGGTTCTCTTTAAATTACGTATATACATATATTGCTATCGTCTTATATAGCGTTTTTTATTAGCAGAACTAGTGCTCACTCAATGCATATTAAAACTGTTGTACACTATTCTAATCTAAATGTAAAAGTAAGATATCTCAATTGATAAAATGCCCAATGTGTACTTTATCAAATAGCACAATAAAATATATTGAATATTTCGCGGTTTTATTCGTTTCTATGTTTTTATTAAAGGTAGGGGAGAGTGATGTTGGTTGTAACAGAGGGTCAATTGTAACACTGATAGTAATAACTTTATCTATTGACGAAAGGCTGAATTGCGTGTATGATTGCATAGCTTTAACAGAAGTAAGTTATTGACGAAGAAACGAGTGGACGCATGCCAGTGCTAACTTATCAATATCTGTTTATTTGGAATCAATGTCAAATTGTAAACTTTGTTAGCCGCTATTATTTTATTTCAACTTGTCCAATAACAATTTGGCATAAAATCATATTGTTTGATACGAATATACATATATATAATATATATCAAGTTTTTGCAATAAATCAATTAAATTTATTGCTTACATGTGAGTTTAATGGACATCTAATGGAAACAAGCGGCGATGGTTGCAAAAGTAATAATCACAGTGGTGTTGATTGTAATAAATTATAATCGTATCATATTTGTAATTTCTGATTTATCAATTGTGAAGATGTGAGTCTTACTCAAGAAGAATGTCGAGAAGACTGGTTATAGTACACAGAATGCAGAAAATGAGCATATTCAAGCTGCGCAGATAACAATCAATTTTTTATTTGTCTTAATTGTTTAAACAATTGAATATTTGATCACACATTAACAACAGTTATTTTTACTTACAATGTTTGAGATCTCACGGTTATTATTTTTCTGTTCTTTTTTTCATGTTGCTTAATGTTCATTAGTATAGTGTTAATGTGTTACAATTGACACCCTGAGGTGTCAATAGTAACAAGTTGCGGCGGTGCCTTTAATGGTGAATATTTTTTATAATTATTTTTATAATAATTGTTTTTCTAATATCTATTATGTTATAATCAACCCCAAAAAAGTCCCTTGTTTTCACATAAAATTAAGATTTCCTGTGATTTATAATAAATTATAATAATTAGCCGCAAAAATCTTTTTTTTTGTTACAAACGATTTTTTTGTTACCACTCTCCCCTACATCTTTATATCGATTTGTGTACAATGGCTTTAAAGTGCATTGAGTGCGTACTAGTTCTGCCAATGAAAAACGCTATTAAATTCACACTCTCAGATACTTATAAGGCCTATTCTTTTTGGTTGAACTTTTGCACCAATTCATCTTTCTTCTTCTTCTTTCCTCCTGGAGAGAAAAGGAAGAAAGATGAACTAGTGCAAAAGTTTAACCAAAAAAGAACAAGCCTATTGATTCGCATAGATCAAAGTTGAAAATACTAACTAGTGACTGTTCTGGTACTGATTGTATCCGAACTCAATGCGACATCCACGTTCAGTCCGTTCCCCTGATATGTGAAATTGACACATACTATAACATAAAATACCTATAGTAATTCAATTTTTTATTTATTATGTTAAATATTAAGCCGAATTTAGACCCACAATCTTTTCGCTCTTTAGTATACAGGATCATCACGCTTTGACAGCAAGAACAGGAGAAAGACATCGAGCAGTTGCATGATTGTCGCGTAATCGAGATTGTTCTATAAATCAGGAATCCTCTTGATATGCCGGTACCTAATAAATGTTTTCTTATTTAGTTTTATAAATAAAAAAATGTAATATACACAATACATGATAAAATAAATCCAAACACATATAAAAAAATTATATAATGTGGATGAGAAGCTAGCATATTTTTTTTTAGATAACTTCACAAATTGCTGAATAAATCGCGCGGTAGAAATAAAATTTTCTCATCTAATATGATTAAAAGTTAAAATAATTGCACCAACTGCTATTAACGGGGACAATTTCGCGAAGGAGACACAACCAGATAAAGACGAGAGCACCAATGCTACGCAGATCCATATTTACACATTACGTTTATAATTATAGCAAACACGCGCGTAATTATATTTACTCATTAACGAGTTCCAGCGACGGCTCGTTTTACACTAAATGCTTTCTGCCTTTCACATTCCGTCCGCCGTATACAGGATGCAATCACAAGCTATTATATTGTGAGCCTTTAGAAAATGTCCGGAAAGTTTTTGTTCACCTGAATTATATAGCGTAAAATTTACTATTATACTCTTGTAGGGAGCATTTATTGTTCTCTACATGTCCCTTATATATACGAGATAAAATAATGCACGCTCTTATAACAAGAGTATACTGTATATCAAATTACAAATGTTACAAATGTACACATACATCGTTTCTTCCACATTATTTGATATTTAAATAATATTTAAAATTTAAATGAAAGGAATGTATCATTACGTGATATTTCATAAACGAAAATGTAATGTGAATTGAAAGGATAGTTTGCGTTTCTTCTTTCTTAAAACTCTTAATAAAACATCAAGCTTACATGATTTTCTGAGAGTGTATACAACCATTTATTAAAACAATATTAAATGAAAATTAACCGAGAAATTAACAATTCGGTCAAGACAGGTCTTGGCCTAATAGTATTTTTACAAAAATTTTATTAAGCATCAAGACCAGTCTTGATCAAATATGACTTCCTTCGCTTAATTGCATTTATTAAAATATAATAATAATAATAAATACGAATACATGGCACATAATTCATACTATCATTGTCCGTTAAAAAAAATTTTTAGTATATATCATCGTCGTCGTCATCGTCGTCATCATCATCGTCATCGTCCTCATCATCGTAGTCATCATTATCATCCACATCTTCCGGAAAAAGTTCTATTTGGCCCAAAGCACCTCCGTCTTCTGGTTTTAACAGAGCTAATCCATTTGAACCGAATCTAAGACAATCTAAACTAATCTGTGGAAATAGACGAGATTGGACAAAATTATATAAGTCATTTATGATCGACATATCATTTATATTACGACAAAATATGTAAATTTTTTATCTGCATTTGTTAGATCTGAAAATTTGTATATAGCATGAATAATATTCTTCAGGCAATGAACTTTCAAATCTGACCTTAAACAGTGTAGAATCCTGAAACTTTCCTTCCATACTGAGACACAGATGCATATTTCTGCCTTGAAAATATATATTATAAAATCTGACGCACGCTCTGATCGGTAGCCTTGGAACAGGAACACATATCGGTCTAGGATTCTTTCCTACAATAACAAGACAAAATAAGAAAGTATAATAAATATAGATGCATGAAAATGATTCTTTTTTTCTTTTATAAATTATCTCTATAAATTATCTCAAAATTAATTAATTATTGGTTTATATTCTATACGTATCCGCTTACCAGAAACAGTTCTTGTGTAAAGAATTCTGTCGTTCATCATGATATTCGCGGTGAAGCTGAACTCGTCAGGATCATACGTGATGTTCACGCAGGCTTTTTGTTTCCACGTGTCATATAGGATTCTTGAACAGCATGAACAGACACCACCGCTACACTGACAAGGTCTGTTTGTGATGACCGTGTTATTTTCCGATGCTGATGAATTTGAGGCCTGCCTCAAGAGTAGCTTCACTTGCTCTAGATCTTCTTGCGATTTTGAGAGATCTTCGAGCTCACTATTAACAACTTTTTTTGTCGTAAAATCTTCGTCGGCTCTTGATTCTGGCACTAAGCATGATTGCACGAGAACAATGATCAATAGCAACCAGCAGGCGGCTTTCATCTTGCGTTCTTGATCTTGTTTAGCGTTCAATGGAAACAAGAAGACATCTCCTCGAAAT